TTTTGTGGGAAAGTGCAATTGGCATGCTGCAATATGAGGTGATGGTCGCAGATGAATGGCACAACAATAGCAATGGGCATCAGGATATCATCACAGTATCTCTGTGCATTCAAAATGTCATCAACTAAATGCACCAGTGATCGCCGTCTATAGCATATGCCTGTTCATACCATAACTGGAGTTAGTCACACACACAAACTTTTGTAAAAAGAAATAAAATATGGTTCCTACAGATTTGAATGAATTTTGCCTCAGTGCACATTAAATACATTCTCTGTCAACACCTGACAAAAAATAGGTGGTCTAGACCTGCTTTTAGGCCATTTGGTAACTAAATTGTCCCTAGGTGTGAGAGTGTGAATGTTTGTCTTGTTTGTCTCTATGTGGACCTGTGATGGACTTGCCACCTGTCCAGAGTGTAACCTCGCCTCTTGCACAGTGACAGCTGGATATGGGCACCAGCAACGTTTAACATAAATGTTCATTTGTCAGAATTTCATTAATCAAAGTGGATTACAGGACACTGTATAGGTGAGTTTTGCTTTGGTTTAACATTAGTTCTGATCATCTTGGGACATGCTTTGGTCACTGTGAGCTATAATGTGCTGTGTCAATCAGATGACAACAGTCTGAGCAGCATTATGCCACATTAGATTTGCCTAGTAAAACACAGTGCTGATGTTATTATGTTCACAGTACATCAGTGTAGAGCAGTATGCACTGTGGACAGGTTAAAATGGTCAGTTTTTGTTCTGACACTGAGTTCTCAGAAGTCACTAACCAGTGAGTGTACCTTTCAATCTCTTATGGCGCTTTGCCACTGAAACAACTCTCATCAGTTCTGTACCACACTGCACCAGTTAAGGGCCAGCCCATTGCTGGTACCCACCCCTACTCAGCCCGGTTTATGAGACCACCTTGTTCGTGATTCTTCTAACAGCAGGTTGCGACAGCAGCTGTTGATTGGCCAGTGGAGCTTTAAGTCACTGGATGACCTGCCCAGCAAAAATGCAAACTACATCTGAACTGCCCCTTTGTTAATTTGTTGCCATATGGTGCCACAAGAAGTTAGCACATACAGCGAAATAGAGATAATGGCACTGCATGGCTACACCCAGACCAATAAGTAGCAACAGGATAAGCTAAAAAAAAGTGAAATCCAATTATAGGGCAACTAAGTTGCCCAACGGGCAGCACAATTCCACAGATGTTAGCACAGGTCATTGTGCTCGAGCCACTCCGCCCAACTAACAATGGGCGGAGTGGCTCGAGCACAATGATACGTTACGATACCACCCACTTTGCATTGACGATCCGCCCACAGAGAGGGGAAACAAGTCACCGTGGCAAATCACCTTCACCTGAAAAGAACCAATAAGACTCCCATTGGAGACACACTTATCAATGGCAAAGTGGCTTAACTGTATATGGCACCCTTTAGGTAATTAAGCTATCAAGAGATAAGTACAACAATCTGGCCAAAATGGCTCTGAATTGGTTTAAAACAATATAGTTCAGTTGTCTGATAATTGTATTGTCATTTGAACAGAAACATCAGCAGACCGATTGTTGTTTAGCTGACAGCACACTGTGTGTCTATCTGCTTACATTGATTGCAGAACATTACGGGGTACAAAATTTACCAGCAAGTGTGAACAAAGGTGTCAAAGCTAACTACTTGCAGCCAAATAATCCAAAACACATATTAACTGCCCCTATTTGATCAGAAAGGTGGTTGTTTCGATGCAGCAGCTACTATTAAAGACTGTTAATGAAGCAGTCATGATGTAGCAGGCAGTTTGCTAACGGACATAAGTAAAGTGACCTCACATGAACCATGCAGGAGTTGCTGGGTTTGATTCGTCAGTTGTTTTCATGTTCCTTGTGCTTTTTCTGGCCATTGTTCAAAAAAAGCAATTAGGCCACTCCCACTAAAAAACACTGCTACCTCTGGAACATTAATCAGCTCCAAAGAAGAGATAAACCAAGAGATTTCTTTAAACCATGACTGATTTTCTAACGTTGTGTCAATCCAAGGTGCACGTGCAAATTAAACCACTGGTACACTTTGTCTGCAGTGGTGCTGTCACATGTTTTTTTTTTTTTTGGGGGGGGGGGGGGGATGCTGCAAGTTTATACTCATCATGTGTTTGTCTAGCAAATGGGATGCTGCAGTGAGTCACTGCTGAGACTGAATACCATTTGTAAACAATTGGAAAACATTTAACAAGAACTAGTCATGCACAGGGGTTTACAAAGTCAAACTTTGTGTTTTGTTTTCATGGTGAGTTGCGTGCAGGCCTTAGATGACAGTGGTTTGCTTTGCATATATTTTGCATATCAGACCTGCAGCGGTGGCAACCGGTTTCTTACTAACTGCATCAAACTTGTGGGCACTTTGGAAAACCATTTTCGGAAGTTCATTACATGTTTTCAATGCAACACCCAACCATTTCACTAAATACTGCTTGACAAACACCGGCATCATCTGAAGCCGGTGGATCCAAGGATAAAAACCTATTTTCATTGGAGTAAATAATCCCCAACAAGTATCACATTACAAACACTTATAGTATTTAACATTTACAGCTTTCCATCTCCTCCTACCAGTATAACAACTAATCAAACTTGATAGCACATTCCCAAACCTGACACACCTTTACCGTGAAATGCCTGAGCGTATAACAAAGCCACATCTAAAAATGTTCCAATACTTTACCTTAGGGACATCAGATGACAGTAATTCCTGTGAATAGGTATCTCCAATTGTCCATAGTCTGACTTTACGTGGAAGGAATTTCAGATGTACGAGTTATCACATTCACAAGTCTGCCTGCTCTGGACTCTATCTCATGACTCAGTTTTCTGTCTGACACAGAGTGCGAGGTTGTTTTCTAGTTATTTCACAGAGTGAAAAACAGGGTGAGAAGGGTCCAAGAGACGTGCTTTCTTGCCTACAGAACCTTTTTCCCCTCTCTAGTTGTTTATAAAGTTCTGTAACCAAGCATTTTTCCACCCTCCTCTGTACTATTGCAGCTGCTGATCCATACCAATCCGCATGGGTCTCTGTGTAAACACGGACCGGCTCCGAGTGGAAGACGATGTGGAAACGGCTGGATAAGGGAGGCTGCATTTGAAGACATTCAAGGATGGATTTCCAAATGAAACACAGAGATGACATCATGGCAAAGTCAGCTTGCAGGAACAAGAAGAGGCCTAGTAATGCAACACCATACATAAACAGTGGACAGCTGTATTTATAGGAGATTGTCTCATGAACCTATCTGCCTCCATAAATCCTATTATCTGATTTGTAGCCATTCTCCTGCCCATCACCCAACGGACAACCGCTTTGGCTTATATAGTGTTATTAATGTACACAAATGCTGTGCGATCGTCACCATCGTTGTGACATTAGTCCGCTTGGCTAAAATAAATATATCTTTTCCTTGATTAGACATTACCTCATTATAGCCAAATGACAGTTTGTAAATCCGTGAGCTTCTTATTACAAATAATAAAACAGCTGTCGGATATTATTCAGGCTTAACCTTATGTTTTCAGAAGACCTCCATAATGGGTGGCCTTCCATGTAAAACCAAGAAATATGATTTTAAGCTACATATTGTAAAATAATGAAGAAAAAACTTAACCTGCACAATATTTTTCGCAAAATTGATGGTCTCTGATTAAAAAAAAAGCTAAATTTGTGACTGGATGCTGACTACCACGTACGTTTGTTTACATACGAAGCAGCCAAAGTGACAGAAAATGGGTCAAATTGTAATTTACCGAACCAGCAGAAGTTCTGCTGTTTGTTTGAATGGCAGGCTGTCTTTACGGTGCTCCACCATCCTCAGTATTTATTCTTGACAGTTATCTTATTGCTCTTTTTCTTTCCTGTTTAGCACCACATTCACACTTATATTTCCACATAAACATCTTTGAGATAAGCCACCCTGAATAATCAGACCACCATTTTGTTTGTGGATGTCAAGGTCATGGTCATCGGGTCAATCGGGATAAAAAAAACACAACAAAAGTTAACCCAGTGCGCATAAACAAGTTAAAGGTTAGCATTTTACAGGGGCTTACGCAAGCGTTTTGTTTTTATTAATATCTTTAGGGTTAATTATAGGGTTGGTATTACTAGTAAATTATTTACAAAAAAAAAAAAAAGTAAAATTTTCATGTTTAAACACATTCGACAAACTTTTGTATTCAAATGTTTATGTACTATTTGGCATTCAATCAAACTGATTCACGTTTTCATATTTATCTAAAACAGAACTAGTTTATTCATTCATACTCATGTGTGGGTTGCTGTTTAATATACCGTATTATTTTACATTATTAGTGTTTGGCGTATATCTTAGATCTTTTAGCGTATTGGTTACCGCATATCTTATATATCTTATATATCGTATATGCTGTTTCTCTTTATACTTTAAATATTTTTGTTATTTTGGGGTGTAACTGGGACCTCGAATACACAATTTTGTTCCACCTCGTGCACCAGGTGATGCGAATGACAATAAAGAAACTTGAACTAAAAGAATGCTAAATTTACTGTGAATTTGAGACAGCATGTTATGTGGCAAGGTGCCCTCTTTGAACCCTTGTTGACCTCTGACCTCATCACTGGACACTAATTCTGCTCTATTTGTTTACCTTCACAAAGTACTGCCTGCCTCATGAAGGGTGGCTCCAGCTCTTTGTTTACATTGAGCACGGGCCGCATTTCAGACTTTTACTCAGTATATATATACAACTACAGGAGTAAACTCATTAACGGTACTATTTGATACAGTTAGGGACTCTTTTCTGTTTGAATATGAAGAACAGGTGTTCTTTCTGCAGGGGGCCTAGACAGGAGCCGTCTAGATGAAAGTGCACCTGCTGCACTGATCTGAGACACAGAACAACCGGGTTACACCTTCTCTTCTCCACCCCCACGCTGTCAAACTTTCTGAAGAAAAGCCAGACTTTCAACTACTCACATATCTCCTGAGCTTCTTCTCCGGCGGTGATTTCCTCAGCCAGCCTTGGAAGATGATTTCCCCGCCGCTCATGTTCGACCAGAGTCCTCTGCCTGCCGCTCCTCGCCGGAAATCAAGAGGTTTGTCAGCGGGAGGACATCTGCTCCACCACGGTGCTCTTCACGGGGCTGTTCGGCTGTCCCTGCTGAAGTCTGCGCCCCCCATTTGGACACCAGAGGAGTCAGGGAGCGGGTGGTGTCACCTGGTTCCGGAACACTTTGGACCGGACTCTTGTCAGAAGGTACCCACCACCCGGAGAACCGCCAACTGATGCGGGCTGAGGTTGTATCTCACTCTCCCGGAGTCCGCAGTTTGTTTTCCCAGCTCAGGCCACGCCCACCGCGCGCGCTCACAGGGATGGGCCGCTGAAATGAACCCCGCGCTAAATCAATTGAAGAGTAATAAATAATTAAAAAACATAAAAAAAGTGTCAATTTATTTGCATCTAATCACCTTTTTTCCACTCAATAGTTAAACTTTCTTTGATTTTAAAACATTTGACTTACTAAAAAAAAAAATAATAATAATATAAGCATTAAAAATGTCATACAGCAGAAAATATTTCTTATAATTAGGCGATGCATATTTTTTAAAGCACTTATGATGAACGGCGTTAAGTGCATCCCATTTAGTGATTGGTAGAAATGGAGAAAAGCACCATCTTGTGGAGAGGTGACTTACTTAAACGTCACATGTTAACAGAAAATAATTTAAAAAATCGGTTCCAATTAACCCTTACAGAAATGAACCTCTAATTTAGAAATCACGTGTTCACATGATGATAAATAGGGTATGTATAGCGCCCCAATCTTTTCATGCCAGCGTTTTTTCAGACCATGTGATTTTGACTGTCAAACCTTGACACGCTCTCGTCCAATATCGTGAAATCTCGCGAGATGTTGTAAAACTATGTTGTGGATGATGCTCGGCTACTACCACCCCAAACTTTAGCTCAGTGTCTGTGAAACTGTCTTGTAGCCATTTTTATGTTAGCAGTTGTGTCCATCTTAAACTTATCTCAGTCCCAAATTTACTGAGTTGTAGATTTACATACTGATTATTAATGTACAAACAGCATTAACTTGCAAAGACGTTGCACATTGTGCAACACTAAGTATGCTTTGGGGACAATGCTCAGCTACTACTACTGCACGTTCTAGCTTAATATAAAACTTGAATGTTCTTTTTGTGTTGGCTACTGTAACTAAGCTGTTGTGGCCATCTTGACTCCAGAATTAGCAGCAAATTATTACATTCTGAAAACTTTGATTAAAATCTATCTAGTGGTGCTTGAGAAATTTTGCTAACAGGGTTGATTGCAACAATTATTGCCCACAAAAATATTGCACATTGTGTAGTGCTTTATGTGTGGGATTGATACGTACCCCAGATTTGAGTGTAATTTATGTAAAATTGGCTGTTAAACCCATTTTTTTGCTTCTTAAATCAGTTTGCACTATCATAATGGGCATTTTGAATTTGATTGACTCCAAAAGTTCATCAGTAGTAGATGTGCACCCATTGATTACTTTCTGAAAGTTTTATTAAATCTGTCCAGCAGTTCATAATATATTGTGCTAATGCTACAGCCAAAGAAACACAAACATTGGCAAAAACAGTATCACCTTTGATAATGACATGTAACTTATGTGAAAAGAATAAAGTAAAAATCTTGCAGGAAAAAGGTGCTTAAATAAATAAAAATCATCATAATAAATATGCATTCCAATGTTTAAGATGGCAATAATTATGTTTTTTATTACAAATGCATAATGACATTTAAACACCAACAAACAGAAAAAAAAATCTAACATGAAAACATTTAATTTGATCTAGTAATCCATTGTTTGTTAAATACCAAAAACACTTTTATGGATGTATCCAAGAGGTTTTCAACTGCGTTTTATAAATCGCAAGAATAAGAAAATCTTGGGAAAGGAATCACGTCCTTTATGTTGTCGACACCCAGAATGCACTGCAAATATCGCTCAAATCCCAGTCCAAATCCACCATGAGGGACGGAGCCAAAACGCCTCAAATCCAAATACCTGCAAAGACAAAATAAGATTTTTTTTTTTCTTGCAAAAATACTGTTAAAGAAAATCTTTACTTTTAAATTTTGATAATAATCTATCATTTTACCAGCTGTAGGTTTCAGCCAATCCAGCACTAAAACAAACAAACAAACAGGTTTATGATGAAAACATTAACATCTGCATTAAAACATCATCTCTCTTAGTATTAGTAAACCACAAATGCAATATCCTGCTTTTTCTGCACGTGTATAATGGAGACAAAATTAAAATTGAAATTACACGTTTCCTTTCTCAGAATAAAAGCCAAATGAAATGTAATCATTGTTTATCTACATAAAACTGTTAAAAAATCAATTACTGTCTGGTTAACATCAACGTGTATACAAACAAATTAAGACGCATGCAATACAGGCTGTACAGTAAATCAAGTCAAGTCAAATTTTTGGCACAACTTATAATATTATTAAATTGGAACACACACTTAAAGGTCAACAGGATAATTTTAAACTCAATTCTGACACACACAGGGAGCCAGTGAAGGGAGGACAAAACTGGTGAAATGTGCTCAAACCTACAAGTTCCTGTTAAGAGCCGAGCTGCAGAAGTTTGGACGAGCTGGAGACGTGAACGGGAGAGCTGACTGACCCCAACTTAAAGTGTGTTACAGTAGTCCAGCCTGGTTGTAATGAAGGCATGGACCATTTTTTTCAAGGTCAGGTCTGGTCAACAGACTCAAGCTTAGCCATCGCCTTAATTGGAAGACTTTTTTTTTTTATAGAACAGAGTTCAATTGTTTATTAAACTTAAAGTCAGAGTCTAAAACCATCCCAAAATTTGGAACAGACTGCTTAAGATTTGGCTCAAGAGAGTCAAGGTTTACAGGAACAATATTTAAAAATGTCTAGAAATATGTTTTTTTTTAATTCTGCTAAGTAATGAGAAAACACACAGGAGTGATAGTACTGTTCTGTCTGCAGTCTTACTCTTGCAGCCGAGCACTCAGTAGATCCAGTCTCTCCTCTCTGAGTGAGCCCCCACAGAGCTCTCCAACTCCTGGCACAAGAAGATCCACTGCAGCTACCTGCACACAAACATCAGCTCGCGTGTGCAAATACATTCAGGGCCCCAACTGGCACCACACTATAGGAAGCGAGTGGGTAAATGTTTGTATTACAGTAGTCCCTCGCTACTTTGCGGCTCGTTTCTCGCGGACTCGCTCTATCGCGGTTTTTCAAAATAAGATCGGACATGACACACAATTGGCTGACTGATGGATGAGCTGCACGATCAGCGTGGAATTTTTATTTAAAATAAATTATTTTAAATGATTTAGCATCTGCTGCACATGTGTGCAGCCCACATTACGGGATAAGCTTCCTCCTGCAGCTGATTTCCATGCAGAGCGGAGAAGTGGGCGTGGCCAAGCGTGCTTGCAGGTAGCACAGTGCAGCTGAGGCAGAGCTGAGATCACAACATTCTGTGCTCTTATAGAGAGTTTACAGTTTAGAAATATTGTTTAGAATATTGCAAGAGTGTGGGAAGGGTTTAAAACGCCTTAACACATATGTGTCTATATATATATATATATATATATATATATATATATATATATATACACACACTAAAATAAACTACTACTACTTGTACTACTATCCCTACTTCGTGGTTTTTCACTTATCGCAGGGCTTCAGGGTACGGATCCACTGCGATAAACAAGGGACTACTGTACTCTGTGTTTTTACCAGTGTAGCCATGTCTTACTGTATTCTTTGGATGATCCTGGTTGTCTCTTGCATAGAAAGCCTTCAGGTCATAAGGATAATCAGTGACAAAGACTGGAAGGTTGCCACAATGTTTCACCACATACTTCTCATGTTCTGTCATAAGGTCACATCCCCACTACAAACCAGAGCAGAGCAGAATGAAGAGGACAACTTAACAGGAAGATATTAGGTTTATTCTATTATAAAATAAAAGAAAGTCAACTCACGTTTGTAGGGAAGGCAAAATTCTCCGAGCTGCGGTTTAGGATGTCTATGGCCTCGCTATAGGTAATCCTTAAAGAAAGCAGTTTCACACATTCAATACCTTGAACTGGACTTGATTAGGCCTGTCACGATAACAAATTTTGCTGGGCGACTGTCTCAGAAATTATTGCGATAAACAATAATATTGTTTGAAATTCGACAATAATTAGTAATTCCTGTCAAAACCAAAAATAAATGTTTAATTTGTTTTGCGTGTAGTACCTTTTTTGAGCACCGGATGGCAGTATGAGACTGTTTGAACCGAAGGATGGATAGTGAGGGAGCGAGCAGCGTGTTTCTTTAAGAAAAATGTGAGGGAAGCCCCTTGACGTGACATGGGCGGTCTCTTTTCAGTTCTCAAAATGGCGGACGCTCAGTGTGGTTTGAGCTCTTTAGCATAGCATTTTTCACGCAAAGCTTTTAATAAAAAATCAGTAAACAAGTTCTCAGATTCATTTTGCAGAGAAAAACTTTTTACACAAAGGCACGGGTTTCAGACGTGAATTTTGGAGCTTCGACAAGACGGAGTTTTTTTTTTCCCAGGTTTGGCTTGTTAGCTTAGCTCATGGCTTAGCTTCTCAGCTTAGCGGCTTTTAGCAATCCAAAAACGTGATTTTGGACAGTTAAAATGGATTTTAAAGAGACAAGAGAAAGGGAGGGGTCAGTGAAGAGCATTGGAGTTGAGCTTTTTGTCATCTACTGTATTCCGTTGAAAGAGAGAGACACGAAGAAACTATAAAGCCGATAAATGAAAATGAGGTCGATAATTTTCATTTACCATGCGATTAATTGATTTATTGTTTCTCATGACAGGCCTAGACTTGATCATTCCTACGAATTGTTTTTAAAACGTTTAGAACAGCAACAACACTCACACGGGGAAGCTCTTCTTCAGCATAGCATCTACAGTGTCCTGAAAATTAATGAATGCAGGAGGAACAAACAAAGCTTAGATGAAGTTCTAAGGAAGTACAATAAAGTTGTGGCTGCTTTAAGGAGGCAGGTTATGTAGCCAAACATCCTTCAGAACTCACTCTGTGCCCTGGAGTCACATGACAATGAAACAAATCTACGTCCTCCGCAGAGTGAGCCAACACATGCTCAGTGGCAGATCTGAACATGTCCTCCATGACCTAAAGAACACACCGAGATTATTATTAAAACTGTCCCATACAATTATGAATAAAGGAGAAACGTTAAAACGTATATGGGATTTTGTTCAGTCTATAATAACTTCTTAGTGGATGGTGGACAGGACAGCCCCCAGAAACCATCTCATCACCAGCAAACTGGTTGGTCCACTAAAGGAGTGTACTGCCTAGTGGGGAAACAGTTTACTTGGGGCTCCTCAGACTGATGAAGCCCTCTGGATAGAGGGCGAAATGTCCATCCATCCATTATCTTTTACCCACTTCTTCCATTTTGGGTCACGGGGGTCGCCGGTGCCCATGTCCAGCAATCACTGTGCGAGGGGCGGGGGACACCCTGGT